TATGGCCCGGGCTGGTTTGGCTCAGCCGTTAGAGCATCAGCCTGCAGTCCAGAGAGACCTGGATTCGGTTCCCGCTAAGGGCATGTAGCTTGGTTGGCACGTAGTTTGTCCCCGGCGCTGGTTGGGTTGTGCGGGTGGCAACCACTAGATGTGTCCCTTTCACATTGATCTTTTCTCTCTCTCAATCTCTCTCTCTCTCTCTCAATCTCTCTCAATCTCTCTCTCTCTCTCTCTCTCTCCCCGCCCCCCTCCTTCCCACTCTATCTGAACAAGAAATGGAAAAATGTCCTCGGGTGAGGATTTTAAAAAGTACATAAAACCATATATGAGAGACCTACAGCCAACATCATACTCAATGGGCAAAAACTAAAAGCATTTCCCTTAAGAATAGGAACAAGACAGGGGTGCCCACTTCCACCACTCTTATTTAACATAGTACTAAAAGTCTTAGCCACAGCAATCAGATAGGAAGGAAAAATAAAAGGGACCCAAATGGGAAAGGAGGAAGTGAAACTCATTATTCACAGATGGCATGATATTATGAAGCCGCCCAAGTGTCCATCAGTATACAAATGGATAAAAAAGCTGTAGTACATATACACAATGGAGTACTATGCAGCTGTAAGAAAGAAAGATCTCGTGTCTTTGAGACGACATGGAGGGACCTGGAGAGTATTATCCTAAGTGAAACAAGCCAAGCAGAGAAAGACAAATATCACATGATCTCACTTATTTGTGGAATGTAATGAACATAACAGTCTGAGGAACAAGGTAGACCCAGAGACGTGGAAGTAGGGTACAGACTGACAACCCTCAGAAGAGGAGTGGGGGGAGATAAACCACAGAACTTATATGCATGTATGCATAACCAATGGGCGTGGACAACAAAGCTGGGGATGGGAAGGATGGGGAGGAGGATGTCAATGGGGAAAAGAAGGAAAAAATAAAATAACACAGCCATGCATTTTGAATTCACATATTTTGCAGTTAAATTAGTTTATGTACATTTTTTTTCATGTGTCAAAATTGTCAACATAATTATCTTTTTTTTGGCTGACTAGTATTCCAATAGGTTGATATTCCACAGACAATTTTCAAAAGTTCTTTTGGCTCAGAAATTCTCTCCAACTGCTATCAGGTATTATCCGATGCTCAGTTTCGTCTCCTCTGTCCTCATTTGTCCCTTTTCCTCCCCTTCTCCAGCCTCAGCCAGAAGCTGGCAGCGTCCTCACTGTCAGGCACTTGGACAGACAGGGACAGGACAAAGGAACACATCAGTGGTGTTTGATTTCCAAGACTGCTATCTATTTGGTTTCTGACAAATAATATTTTCATGGATGCAAAGAACCATGATGGCTGCGATATCCGGAAAGATTCTTTGCTACCCTGGTGGTGACCTCAGCTCTCTCTGAAGTCCCACTAAGGGAATCATAGAATGGCCAAGAAACTGAGAGACTAACTATAGATGTTGACACATCACTCAACACTTCTTAGATTTTCACAATATTACTCCATCTCTAATACCTGACCTATATAGTTTTAAATGATTCCATAAAATGATGCCAATTAATTTTTTTAAGTATATATATTAGGGAACATTTTACTTCTCCATGTTCAGATATTTCTGCTTTTTCAAATTGGGTATTTGCAGAATTTTTTATTTCACTCTCTTTAGAAAATGTTTCAGAATTACTTGATTTTATAATGTATTCTTCCATCTAGGCAGATCATATGGCCAAGCTCACACTCTTTAGACATCTGTCCTTTGAACCACATGTACTCATCATTTCCTCCCAGATGCTGAGAAAGTTCTACCCAGCAACCCCTTGCCACACCCAACAAAGGTCTGGGCTCCAGTCAGCCACTACTCATCCAGGTGTTTCATCCCCCCTCTTGACTTCCACCCTGAGGAGCCTTCATCAGAGTCAGAGATGTTGTGTGTCTACTGTATTTACAAAACGAAGAATCAACTCTAGCCCACTGAGCATTTAGAAGACATCGTGCTGGGATGTTTATGAATAATTTCTCATTTCACCGTCTCAGTAGTACTGGGGGATGGGAAGCACCACCCTTTCTACATCTGGAAAGGGGACTGATGGTTTAGGTAACTCGCATGCTAAGAAACGGGTGCAGCTGGACTGGAGCCAGGTTTGAATCACTTAGCCAAGTGTTTTTCGCTGGCAACTAAATTACCACTAATATAAGTATATAAAATGACTCCTTAAACCTTCACTGAGGGCGTCTGTGGAGTGTTCTGTGGAGTGCTCTGATGTACCCTTGTCTGGTTTTTTGTATTTAGAGAGGTGAAAGACCAAGCACAGCCCACGGAGAAGGCAGGAGAAAAGGTGCTGGAGGAGATAAAGAATCTACGAGCCAAAGCTCTCAACTCGTACCTGATTCTAGAATAAAGACCACTAGGTCAGTTCTTCTCACTGCTTTCTGCTTGCACCGTGGTCCTTCGTGTCCATTTATGTGCTGGCCATTTGTGGAATTAAAGTTTCTAGAGGAAAAAAATTATAAAATGTGAATGATGTGTGTGTGTGTGTGTGTGTGTGTGTGTGTGTGTAAGTTTTAATTTAAAAAATAAAATGTCATTAGTATGATGGCAATGTTTAAATCTCCTTGGTGGCAGGGTTCGTGTTGGCACAGGCTTCCCAAGCAAGGCATGAGCCTCTGTGAAGAAAGACCAGGAGCCAGGTGCTCAGAGTCGTTTAGAGGGGTGATGCCCAGGGGCCAGAGGAAGTAAGAATGTGGGGAGGGGACAATCTCCCACCTCTGCACGGAACCAGCCCCCTCAACCCCCGAGCATCCCTGACTTTGGCTTTGACAGCCATTCCCGGAGAGCTCAGCCTTGGCGAGGACACTGGCTCCCCAAGTAGCTCGCTATGCAATGGCAGACCCTAGCGAGGGGGGGTTGGAAATGGAGAGGGCATTGTGGGGCAACCAGAGCTTGCAGACTGGTTTGAAAGCAACTGAAAAAACACCCCTCTGGGAACTCTCAGAAACACCTGGAGCAGGAGATCATTGCCAAGGGGCCAGGAGTCCCTATAACCATGTCAGTAAAAGCCAGGCCTTTGATTGTGTTTGTCAACATGGCTTCGTTCACTTGCGTGAGCTGGTGAGTGGGCTGTATTATAACAACCCATAATCAATCAAATGTACTTCCTCCTTTTTTTTTTTGCATTTATCTTCAGATAGAGTGGAAGGGAGAGAGGGAGGAAGAGAGAGAGAGAAACATCGATGTGAGAGAGACACATCGACTGGTTGCCACCCATATGACCCCAGCCGGGGCCAGGGACAAACTGCAACCGAGGTACATGCCATTAGTGGAAACCGAACCTGGAACTCTCTGGTCCGCAGGCCGACGCTCTAACCGCTGAGCCAAACCAGCCAGGGCTCCTCCATTATTTTTTGTGCATATGTTTAAATAGCTGATATCAGACTCTATATACAATTTGAAAGGACTCTTCATTAACTCATTGATTCTGACATTTTCCTGGGATTTTTTTTCCATCATGAAACCAAAACCAAGACTAAGGCCATCCCAGCCCATGTACAAAATAGAAGTTTTCATCACTCAGTTATGCCCCAAGTCCCTATGGGAAATGCCCTGGGAGGCAGAGGGAGACCCCAGCAATGGGAGGCAGAGCCCAGTTGCCACTCCTCAAAACCAGGTTTTCCAGATACAGCAGTACCCAGTTAAAACTAAATTTCAGATATACAACAAATAATATTTTAGTATAAGTATGTCCCAATAGTATATGTACTATTTGATACATATTACACTAAAAAAGTAACTCCTGGTTTATCTAAAACTCATATTTTTATTTGCTGAATCTGGCAACCCTACTCAACACCGAGTGGTCTTTGAGAGACAGTGTATGAATGGATACTGAATGAATGAGACAGAGGCAGTAATTACCAAGGGCGTTGTGTGTGAGGCATGAGGCAGGCTTTCCATCCAACTAGAACACTTAGTTTTCCCTGAGGCCTAATGTGTGCCAGGGCCTCTGCTGACCCACATACCCAGAAAGAGGCCATATTACTTCTTCTCCCCAGTAAAGAAACCCAAGTGTCCCATAAGCCAGGCGACTCCCCAAGCTGGTGACTCTGAGGCCTGGGCACAATCAGGATGGGATTTTTTAGGCACCCAGAACTCAGAGCCAGTCAGCTGTGATGTGCAAGAGGGGCAGCTGGAGACAAGGACACTGCCTGACACTCCCCAAGGACACCAGTCTTCATTCAAGAGTCACAACAACCCTGGCCGGTTTGGCTCAGCAGTCAGAGGGTTGGCCCACAGACTGAGGGGTCTCAGGTTCTATCCCTGGCCCCAGTCGGGGTCATTTGGGAGGCAACCAATCAATGTCTCTCTCTCACATCAGTGTTTCTCTCTCTCTCCCTCCCTCCTCCCTTCCACTCTATCTAAAAAAAGAAAACAAAAGTCACAACAGACCCTGTGTGTTCTCTCTCTGCTTCCTCCTCCTTGTCATCCTCCTCTGTTAATAAGCTATAAATTTGTCCCACATTATCAGCTTAAGGCAGCCATTTTCAAACGTTTTCATCTCATGGCACACATAAACTGATTAATTACTTAAATTCGACAGCACACCAAAAAATATATTTTTTGCCGATCTGACAAAAAAAAATAGGTATAATTTTGATTCATCCACACAGGACGGCTATGGTTGTATTGGCTGTTGTCATTTTTTTATTTGACAATCTAAGGGAAAAGAAGTCAGTGCCCCTGGCTTAATAGTCAGGTATTGCATGTTTTAAAAATTCTTGCAGTACACCAGTTGAAAATCACTGGCTTAAGGGATACAGTGAGGTCACATTACTTTTACTACTTAAAGTCCAAAATGTATATCTCCCATCCCACCTATAACAAAAAAGTGGTGTACCGGGGGCTAATTTTCTTCCCAGGATAAGTCCATGCACCCCAGGGGGCCGTATGCTGCCCATGAGGCGGTCCTGATGACCACTAAGGAGTCCTGGGCCTTCACTGCCCCAGCACGGGCTATCTCTGCAGTCTGATGGGTGCCCATCAGCAGTGCGGACGGAGGCTCAAGCCACCGCTGCCGGCCAGGCGCAGAAGGGAGAGCAGCCTCTCCGCGCGATGCAGGCCCGGGAGAGGGCACCGTGCGCATGCGCACCAAGCCGTGCTGGGACCATTTCCCAGGGCTGGGGACCCAGAGGAAGACCGTGACAAGTCTAGCATCACATTAAGAGTGTATTAAGGACCCCAATAAAGTCAATAAAAAAGTTTTTTTAATGTAACATGTACGAAAAAAGAGCACAAAATAAGAGTACGGCTCAATAAATGTTCACAGTGTGAGCATACTTGTATGACAAGAGTTTATTAAGGGACCGGACATAGCACACGCCTCCCGGGTGGCACGGGGTGCTGTGGACACCCTCTGCACCGCGTGGCAGGCGCCAAAGGGTATCCAGGACAGGGCAGGAGGGTTGGGGACTGGCGCCTGACCCGCCCTGACCAGGGGAAACCGCCCATCGCGCCTCCCCCGCGGCCACCGGCCTGTGCGGGACCGACGACCGGACCCTGCGGGCCGCGGGGAGGAGCAGGACGGCCTCGTAGGGCATCTGGGGGAGAGGGCTGTCTTCCGGCGGGTCCAGCTGGCAGCGGGCAGCGCCCCGCAGTGGTGAGGGCAGGAAGTGGCCCGTCTCCACCGCAGATGCGCACACAACCCAGGGGAGCTGCTGAGTGCCACCCCGGAGCCAGGCGCCAGCCGGTCCCGGAAGGGACACCACCACCAGCCTGCCCCGGGCGAGGGTACCCGCCACCACGGAAACCGTTTCTGAGGATGGCTGGTCAGGCTCATCTCAGAGTCAGACATCCTGTGACACCAACAAAGGAAAACATGGGTGCTCCCGGCTGGAGTATGGGGGCAAGGTGGAGATAAGAGGCCCTGGGACATTTGTCTCCTATCCACTACCCTAAACCAATCATTTAAAATATTCTTTTAGCCCCGGCCAGTTTGTCTCAGCGGTTGGAGCATCGGCCTGCGGACCAGAATGGGTTCGGTTCCGCTAGGGGCACGTACCAAAAATAAAACAATATATACAGAGCACTCCCATCGTATCTACTTTACCCAGCTTCCCCTAATGTTAATATCTACTATGGTACAATTATCAAAAACAGGAAATTAAAGTTAGCACAGTGCTATTGACTGATGTCCTTTTATTTGTCCAGGATGCCACACATATATATTTTTTTTTAATTTTGAAACAATTTTAGACTAAAGGAAAATGTGTAAATCTAATACAGAGCACTCCCATCATATCTACTTTACCCAGCTTCCCCTAATGTTAACATCTACTATGATACAATGATCAAAAACAGGAAATTAAAGTTGGCACAATACTATTGACTGATGTCCTTTTATTTGTCCAGGATGCCACACTGCACTTAGTCATTGAGTCTCCTGTGATAGTCCTTGAGGTCTCTCCTTATTCTTCATGACCTTGACACTTTGGGTAGTAGTTTTCTAGAATCTCCTACAGTATGGATTTGTCTAATGTTTTCTCATGATTGGGATGAGGTTATGCATTTCTGCAAGAAATGCACAGAAGAGACAGGTCATTGGGTCTTATTACTGGTGACGTTTACCTTGTTCACTTGGTTCAAGTGCTGTCTGCTGAGTTTCTCCACTGAAAAATTTCTACTTTTCCCTTGGTAGTTAATACCTTAGAGGAGATCATTCGAGATTACGCAAACATCCTATTCCTCCTCAACTTCAGCACCCATGAGTGGATCTTGTTTACAACCATCATTACCACCGTGTTTGGTTATGATGATTTCCATGACCTGCCCTCCTCCAACTTGCATTCATTCATTATTTATTTATTTATATCAGAATGGAATCATGGATATTTATTTTATTATACAGGTTATAATTCAATACCATCATTATTTTGTTGCTCAAATTTTTTCCACTTTGGCCACTGGGAGCTCCCTCAGGCTCTCTGTCCTTAAACATGCCCCCGTCCTTTTTAAAGCACTCTCTTACTCTCTGGTATTACAAGATGGTCTGGGTTATCTCGTATTTTCTCCGCCTCAGCCCTGGAGCCAACTATTTTTCCAAGGAGCCTGGTTCCTTTTATTGGAGAATGATGCTTCTGTTGGGGCTAAAACACACAATTTTTCTTCCCACCTTCTAAGTTTTTCTAGCTGAACTAGTAATCAAATGAATAGGGAGAGACTAACAGGAAAAACTCAGATTTGTAGTATGTGTGCATGGGGAATTCATAAAAGCATGAAATGCCCAAAGACCTTAAGGTAAAATTGAGTATATGGGGTATACGTGACATTTGGGACACAGGAGGAAGGAGAGGTGGGCAGGGGTCTGAGATTTCAAAGGAACTAGGCAATTTACAGGTAGTTGAGGAATTGTGAAATATTCATGGCAGAACAATTTTTGCTAGGTAACGCAGAAGCAACAGAACATGTTGGTGATCCAGCCAGGCCCCCGCCTACAGACC